GCTGGTGGAAAGGTCATGGTATTAAGTCTTTTGCCATGGAATAGGTACTTTGGTGGTGGCATTCTATTAAGTGATGCTTGATGCTGATGTCAGCAATGGCTGTGCTGAGCGATCAATGATGGTCCTAATTCCATGAGATCTGCAATCAAGTGCCTGGCAGCAATAATGAAGTGGCACATATTGATGCAGAATACGAGTTGGGATGGATAGTTGGTGGTAAAAGTGGGTATTGCTGTGATTGCAATTGTTGACTTAGTGAAAGTCCGCTAAGTGGACAAGGCATTTATTATAATGCTTAAAATCCGTGAATTCTGAGCGTACAGAGCCTTGAGGCTCATCATCGAGGAGATAGTACCAGAGGAGTATCACGAGTTCAAGGACATCTTTGATAAGGAATGCTTCGATGAACTCCCACCCTGCAAACCATGGGATCATGCCATTGAACTAATTCCCAATGCCAATGCCAACCTAGACTGCAAGGTGTACCCTCTCAGTCCAAACAGACAGGAGGAGTTGGACAAATTCCTGGATGAGAACCTTTCTACCAGGCGAATCCAACCATCAAAATCCCCTATGGCATCTCCTTTTTTCTTCATAAAAAAGAAAGATGGGAAACCATGCCCGGTACAGGACTATTGAAAGCTCAATGAGATGACGATAAAGAATTGGTACCCCCTCCCACTAATAGGTGAGCTCATGGACAAACTAAAGAGCACCAAATACTTTACTAAACTGGACGTCTGGTGGGGATACAATAATGTGCAAATCAAACAGGGGGACGAATGGAAGGCAGCATTCCACACCAACAGAGGCCTGTACGAACCCTTAGTAATGTTCTTCAGGCTTACCAACTCCCCTGCCACATTCCAATGGATGATGAACAACATCTTTAAAGATCTTATTGTGGTGGGGGAGGTCACCGTATACCTAGACGACATCCTTATCACCTCCAAGACAAAAGCCAAACACCGAAAGGTGGTAAAGAAGGTGTTGGCCATTCTGCAAGTGAACCATCTGTTCCTCAAAGTGGAGAAGTGCGAATTTGAAGTAGAGGAGACCAAGTATCTGGGGGTTATCATCAGTGAAGGGAAAATCTGGATGGACCCTGTCAAAATAGCCGGGTTACTAGATTGGCCTGTTCTCCATAAAAAACAGGAGTTGCAGTCCTTCCTCGGGTTCTGTAACTTCTACCACTGGTTCATCAGGGACTATAGTAAACACGTCAAGCCCTTGATGTCCCTGACTGGAAAGGCCAATTGGATCTGGGGCAAGGCCCAACAAGAGGCATTCGAAAAACTCAAAGAACTCTTCAAAGAGGACATCATATTGGCGATCCCTCTCAACAGAGGAAAGTTTAGAGTAGAAGCGGATTCAAGTGAAGGAGCAATAGGAGCTGTACTATCCCAAGAACAGGAGGGAAAGTGGAGGCCAGTAGTGTTTCTTTCCAAATCCCTTTCCACCACAGAGCGAAACTATGAGATATACGACAAGGAGTTGTTGGCGATAATGCTTGCCTTGGAAGAGTGGCAGCATTACCTGATGGGAGCAAGGGAAGACTTTGAAATTTGGACGGACCACTCAAATCTACAATACTTTCGAAAACCGCAAAAGCTTAACTGGTGGCAGGCCCAGTGGGTAACGGAGTTGGCAGAGTACCAATTTACTCTGCATCACAAACCTGGAGCCCAAAACTGCAAAGCGGATCTTCTATCATGCCAGGTGGATCATGATCAAGGAAAAGGAGATAATAAAGACATTGTGCTGCTAAAAGCAGAGCATTTCCGAGCCTTGGTAATGCCAACCGCAGAGGAGATCCACAAAAGGATTAAACTAGCCATGCATGACCCTTGCAAGTGGGATCACAGAATCTCCGATTCCCTGAACCACGAAAAAAGCATTACCAAACAACAAGATATGCTTTTCTATGATGGAAGGATCTATGTTCCCCAGGACAAACCATTGCAAGGAGAATTAATAGCGCTAAAACATGATCATGTCACTGCCAGACATCCCGGGATTGAGAAAACCAAAGAGCTTGTCCTTCGAGACTACTGGTGGCCTTGAATGTGCCGAGATGTGGAGGCATATGTCAAAGGGTGCGAAATGTGCCAAAGAATGAAGGCGGACCGTTGACCCAAATGGGCACCCTTACACCCGAATGAAGTGCCAGTATGACCATGGACCCATATCTCCATCGACATGATTACCAAGCTACCGAATTCCAAGGGGTATGACTCCATTCTCATCCTCATGGACTGATTCTCAAAAACCATTATACCCATTGCATGGACCGAGGAACTCACCTCCTTGGGCTTTGCAAAGATCCTATGTGACTACATATACGTCCCTTACAGCATCATGCCTGAAAAAGTCATTTCAGATCGAGGATCTGTGTTTGTCTCGAAGTTTATGAAGGAGTTCTACTGCTTAATCCAAGTAGAGGGAAACCCCTCAACAGCCTATCACCCACAGACAGATGGACAAATGGAAAGGGTTAACCAAGAAATCGAGAAGTACCTGAAAATGTTTGTCAACTATCATCAGAATGACTGGAGCGAATGGCTACCTCTTGCCGCATTTACTCATAATAACTGACAGCACTCAGCTATGGAATACTCTCCTTACAAGGTGATATTCGGAAGGGATGGACAGGTGATCACAAACACTCAACCCCCCGGCATGGTACCCATGGCCGCAGAACTAGTAAAAGGAATAAAGGAAATACAGGATAAAGCTAAAGCATCCCTGGAAAAGGCTGCAGAATCCATGAAGATGGCATACGACAAGCACAAGCATGAACCCCTCAAATACCAACCCGGGGACAAAGTTTGGCTTGATGTGACCAATCTACAGATCCCTCAACCTACAAACAAACTGGGGGACCGATGCATTGGACCTTTTACCATCGTTGCAAAAAAGGGTGCCTCTGCATATGAACTCAAACTTCCTACCAGTGATACGCCGTCTACGCGTTCACACCTAGATTTTGTGATTTTATAACAATACTGTTGCAGGTCTATCCTATACTAGTCGTATATCAAGGGCTATAGTTGAGACTTCGGACTGATAGTCAAGTTAGCATGCTACTAGTTGAGTCAGGACTTAGGAATGATACCACTAGTGGGTCAGCCCTACCAGCCGACTGGACTAGCACCTCCAAAGCTAGTATGACTTAGTAAAATACGGTCACTAGTAAAGAATACAGCTGCTAGCGCCCAAACAAGAAGTAAGAACCCACACAGATCTCGACTATTCAGTCACTAGTGGACCGATCTGGGCATGAACGCCTAAGTCAGGATGACTAGTCACGTGAGAACTTCTGAAAGGACTTAGAAATGAACCAGTAAAGGCATAACCCTTAGCCCAGATCCGGCTAGTGTGATACAGATCTCATACGATCGGCACTAGTATAGCTGGGCTGCGCCCCGATCACAATCGAGCAGTTGCTACAGGCACGGTTACCCGACTATTTGTATAGCCGTGTCACTAGTGGAGCACCCCTGGGCAAAGGGTGTGGAAACGACCCAATAGCGGAGTCCCTCGACCCGCTATCTGACAGAAAGAACAGGCTAGGCCGACTATTGCGTGATTATTCACCATAATTCATGACTAGCCAAGATATCCTTACCAATATTACCCCTAAAGAATCTATTTATATTTTATTCTGTACCTGTCTCTGTAGTATATAAGTAGTAGAAGGGGCAGCCTCGCAGGCAGGCAAGCCATCCCCGCGATTGTGACCTACTAGTCCGTATTCTAGTGCCCCAATTAAAGGCTTTTGTGCTTAACCTCGACGAAGTGTCTACTAGTCGCTTAGTCACCTATAGTATTGAATGAATTGAAGTGTCTTAAAGTTACTATTCCGTCTTGGAGTGACTCAGAGCATTTCGAAGTTAGTTAAAGTATTTTCTCAGAGTTAAAGTATTTGTTCTTAGGCCAAGAGTGCCACTAGTCGAGCCTAGGGTGCTGCTAGTCAAGTGTAGACCACTTGTGAGACCCAGTATTTGGCCTAGAGTGCCACTAGTTTTGAAGTATCAGAGTTAGACCGAGCGCAGTTGCTCAACCCAAGTCACTATTCATCCAATCGTGTCTTAAAACCCCGCTAGCGCGAGTATTACATCTTGTGTAGCTCACTAGTACCAAATATACGTCTTTAAACAACCTTTCCCTGATTTGTTGAAGTCTGCAGAGTGCTTCTATCGTACTTGAAACACCCGAACTCAATAATATTGGTGATTAGTGTAGAGTAGTAGAGGGTTTTGGTGTTGTGGTGTTCATATCCATTCACTAGCCTTTTGTCACTCGCCGTTACCGAGCACATCACCGGGTGGAAAATTCATAACCGCTTCAATAAATCACTGCTCACCCCATATGTAACCCCTGAGTTTCCAAACCAACCCCAACCAGAAAGACCACCACCGGAACTAGTAGACGAAGAAGAGGAATATGAGGTGGAAGAAATTGTAGACAAAAGGGACAAGATAGTGGGTAGGGGGCGAAACTGAAAAACCATCATGGAATATCTCATCAAATGGAAAGGATACCCCATAGAGGAAAACTTGTGGGTAAAGCACTCCGACATGGCAAATGCGGAAGAACTGGTCAATAATTATGAGGCCAGACAGGTGCAAGCTGAATACCAAGTTCGTCAATCTACAGAAGGGGACAAAGCCAGCCATAACTCGGATCACCTTAGACCAGTAGGTAATGCAGCCACATCCGATGGATACCCAAAGACCTTGCTCCCGACCCATGCTATCATCACAGATGAAGATTGGCCAGTGGTGGAGATGTTTATCAAGCAGAAAGCAAAAGAAAGAGATGCCGCACTGCTACACTCATATTCATCCAGTCCTGTCTCATGGGAACTAGAACAAGATGTACTTGCCCAACAAAAATGAAAGTTTAAAGCCACAGGAGAATACACGACTGACGTCAACTACCTAGCCCAGGTCGAGGAAAATTGGGAAGATGAAGAAGATCGGGAAGAAGCTCCATCCATGTACACCTACTCCAGAAATGAAGACGCTCGATCAGAGGATGAATCACTGGACACCTTGATGGGGACGTAAGGCTCAGTCAGGACGACTGAGCTTATGGAGGGGGTAATGTTATGATTTTCCAATTTTCTTACTGATTCCTGCTTACTCATATGTTTTCATTGTACAATATCATCAGACATTCATTCTCACAGCACTATTATTAGCTTACCCATTGTGTATTTAAGTAGAGCCTACACTGGCATAAACCCCAGCTACAGCTAAGGTTTAATCTACCCAGTCTTATCTCCATGCTGTGCAACTCTTTGTCTTGTTGCCATCCTTGTTATTCAGATATTGACCTGCATTGTCCTGACTCCACCAAAGTGCAAGTGGCAGGCCTTGTTTGATCATTATTTGTTGGATTGGTGGCTAACATTGGAATCAGGTCATGAAGGAATAGTACAAGCAGTGGAGAATTTTCATATAGTGGCACTGACCAAAGGGCCTGATGGGGAGATTGAGGTTGGTATTATCTGATTCCAAATGCAGGCAGTTAACTAATGATTTTCTAGGAGTTCCAGTGCCCCAGAAATTCAGTTTCGCGTCAATCTCAACACACTCAAGATTATGATGACTATGTTCTCAAGCCGACAGCTGCACCAAATGCTAGCTGTATTGGGCAGCGTATTGTTATTGTGGGTTATGGCCTGGTGCTCAGGGGCAAAGGGGGGTTGGTGATAGATGTCATCATCGAGGAAGGACTTGCAATGGTCATGGTCACATTGGACGATGAGCCTGATGTTCCTCAAATGTTTCTTCCTGGAGAGCTTACAATAGAGGGGTATATATTCATAGCCCTTGCTTCAGTATAGTGCTAATACTTCTTTGTAGACAGGGTGAACAGCTTGATATCAGGGAAACATCGAAAGCCCTTGAACAGATCAAAGGTCTCATCAAAACCACTGGCGAGACTTCTTAGATTGGGATACAGGTTACTGTCTTCCAAACAGGGCATCTACTCAGAAACAAGATCAGCACAGTCAGAGATGTGATTTGCGGCCAAGATAGCAACAGCAGACTGCATCTCATCATTGTGCTAGAGATGTATGACCCTGCAATAACAAATAAAGAGTATACAGTGGACTATGAACATGTTCTGCAGGTCGAGTGAGTGTCATCATTTCTAACTGTGGAAACAACCTAAAGCTTCTGCAGGACCAAGCTCCTCTTGAGATTGCATCAGCTGCTTATGCGTTCACAGATGGCTTTTCTTCCTTGACAGTCTTTTCTGCAATCCAGCTCTGAAGAATGCATGGCTCACTTGGGCTAAACCCAGCTGGGCCATTTTATCAGATACAGGGCTGCAACACCACCCTCCCACCTTGATCCGGCCTGGGATCCCTGTTCCAAGACACCTCTCTCCCTGGACAAAGCTCATCTGTCTCTGGATCTCAATTTCATCTGGGCTATGAACACCATGGTCATTGGGCCACAGACCCACAACTGCTAGGCCATGAATTGTGCATCAAAGTCAATGGCAAAGCAAAAACTCTCATCTTTCGTCAGGGCAGGAACAGCTCACAAGTGGAATGCTACATCTGTAAAGGCAAGAAAAAAATAGAAGCAGTCTCTGCTGAGCTCATAGAAGCCATGCATCCTGCCACTCCTCACAATTATAAACATTGGATTGTGATCAAAGGACAGCACACTGGCAAATATGTCCACTCCATTCGCTATGAGAAAGGGGCAACACCGAAAATGCCGATTTGGTGGACAGTAGCCATAGTCACTCCTGTGGAGGGCCAGGTAGATGAGCAGACAGGAGAGGAACTGCACCTAGAATCCACAGATCTATGCCTGGAGAAAGAAAGCAAGTCTTCCAGGGAAACCAACATGCTGTTCAGCCAAAAGCTATAGGAGGAGGCGCCTCGTCATTGACACAGATCAATTCATAATGTAATATACCAATTGTACTGCCATACCCAATAATGTAATCTAGCAGTATAGCATATTGTAACTTAGGAGACATATTATTTTATCGTATGGGTACTGGCCCAACTTGGTTAAATCTGCAGATGGCAGAGAAAATGAATTTTGGGAGGATTCATATAGGCACAGTCATCATATTCTTACACTTTTTCTTCTTTGTTTCTGGCCTCCATCTGAAACACGCATGTCTCACCATTGTGTTTTATGGTATGTCTCCCTCTGTTGTTCATTTCATCATTCTGATGGGCTAGACAGGTACAGGGGGTGAAGACTCCTGTTGCAAATCTTATTGTTTGGGTGTATCCTATGTGTATTTAAGGGAGCCGTCGATTTTGAATCTAAGAATCCTTCCAATATAGTACAGGTCTACAATGTGACGTACAATGCTCCCTTGTTTCATGCAGGAGGTCACTCAGAACCCTGTGAGCAATTCTGGGCTGACTTGTTGGTATGTGCCTCTCATGATACAGAGTATGGAATGTTAACCATCTAGCAGCCATACATTCGCAATCACATGGTTTACAGACCAGGACGATCATCTGGTGAAGTGATAGAGAGGATTTGGGCAGGTAGTGCTGTAACAAAGAATAGCTCCTATAGGCTGGACGATGAACGAGTTGAGATAACTTGGGTGAGTGATACCTTTATGTGTTTACCATACGCATCTTGATATACATCCAGGCCTCGCAAATATCAGTTGACTGGCCTTTCCCCCACCTCAAGCGTGTTGTTGCTAAGGTCTGGAGCCTCAAAGCCAACTGGTGCACACATCTCACTCTCATTGACTTGCTGCTGATGTTTGCTTAGCAAGGTTACTGGCGAGGTCTTTCGTTGTCGTTATCTTCACAACTGAGTGCTCCAAGGTAAGGGACCATCCTCATCATTAGTATATGTCTGAAAATCTTTCAGACAATGCAAAGGAAGATAATGAGGCCATGTTGGCTCTGGGGGATTGATAATGCACGTAATATGCAAAATACATTCAAGAATAGTTAATAAATGATTGTTTTTGCTATTAATATAAGTAGTCGATATGAGAAAAATGCATTGTAAGCTCTTAATTTTGGTCTACAGGTAGAGCAGTGAGTTGTCTGCATTTCAGATGTACAGGAACTAATTGAAAGGGTTGTAGGTACTATGTGGTCAAAAAAATTCTTTGTTCACATCAAATCTGTTGAGCCACTATACAGATGCCACTTGTACCAAGAGCATACTGCCAGGAAGAGCAAAAACAAGTGACTCCCAGCCCATGTCAATCCATTTGCCATCCCAATAAATCAAATAATCCTTGATACTAGTCAACTGAGGATTGTGGTCCCTCAGGAGCTGTACATTGTCACACAAGCAGACTCTTCCTGCATGATTTGGAGTCACCAGAAAACTATGTGGTTCTATGCCATTCTGCATGAGTCAAGTCAGTTCAGAAAAACCTGCTAGCAAAAAGGTACTAACTTCATCCCACAGTAAGATGGTTACTTTGGTAGACATTGGAGCCTGGATCTGCACACGTATTTCAAGGAGACGGGTAAGCAGGTCTGAACCTCCAGTGAAAGGGGGGCTGATGGGTATTAGAGTACTGCAGACCAGAGAAGCTGACGGATCTTTGCACTGAAAATGAAACTCATGAGAATGATACACAGGCCATCTGAAGTTGGGGCAAAGATGAACCATTTGAAAATACTGCCCAAAGTAGGGACCTTCAGCAGTGCATATGATTGGCATGCTTGGAGGGTGAGGGGGATGCTCACTGAGCTGTACTTCGGGAGCAGGACCAACCAACTCGATGAGTTCCGCTGTGATGCTCTGTTCGATCCCCTCCTCAAGGACCTTCGGACTATGAAGAGGGTATTTTCCATGGAGATTGGCAAGTGTGAGAGACATGAGAAGTTAATGAAATGATGCAGTCAGTGTGGCTCCCCATCTCTTTTAAGAGATGCGATCTATGTTGATGCTTTGACCTCTAGATCAAAGCACTCAGGCACTTTGGCACACTCAAAGCCAAGTCAAAGCTCAAGACAATGGCAAGCCACTCCTTGTGTGGAGCTTTGGCTCTGCAGTGCCTGGCTTGGAATCATCTTTGGTATGACTTTTCAGTTGCCTTTGAAAGATCAATAACATTGTCTTTCTCTTTCAGTGTTGCTTATAAGCAGCAGCAAATGGGTGGCATGCCTTCTCTCTCTGACCAGCACCCATGGCACCAGCTTCAACGTATCCTGCAGAGGAGGAGGCCTGGATCCAAGTGAAACTGCAAGAGTATCTTCCAATGTTGGGCTGTGGAAAGGCCAGAGCTCAAGAACAGCCAGCACCTCAAGATGACAAGGATGCCAGCAATGCTGTCAGTCGTTTTATGAAGGAGTTTGAGCAGAACTTCAACTACAGTACCAAGACACCTAAAGAGCTGAAGACTCATCGTGCAGTATGTTGGTTGCTGCTGATATACTATGTCCTACTTATTCTTAATTGCCAGAATTTCAAGGGAAATTTTCATACTTTCAAATTGGCCAAACTGCACAAACTGCACAAACGAATCTACAATGAGTACTTTTCAACACCAGGTCCATCAATGAGTGTGGCTACATCTTCAGATGGGCCATCTGCCACCTCTTCCACCATTCCCATTGTAGTATCCACCAAAAATGACCACTCCAACACCATCTTCTCCAACTTGCCAGATCCTACTGGATGTGCCCTTTTCATCTCAAGCATCAGGAATGAGGTCAACATGGACATCAATGACTTTCGGAAGGAGAATGGTATTGGTGGCAGGAAACATGCAGGTCTGCTGCAGAACTGATTCAAAGAGAGATAGGATGCTCTATCAGTAGAGCAAAAAGAATGGGATGATCAGGCTAGGGCACTGATAGCTTCGAAGCCTAGTAGCATATACCAGTAAGTCTATTCATAACCTGCAACATTTTCTGCTTCTGATGTCACATAGGAATCAAGAGAGGCTAAACAGAGATCTCACTTCTGTTCTATATCATTTGAGGGGTCCAGATGCGCACCAAGTTGGAAATGCAGCATTTCTGGTTCTCTATGGTGTGCATTGATGTGCTCGGTAACAGCGAGTGACAAAAGGCTAGTGAATGGATATGAACACCACAACACCAAAACCCTCTACTACTCTACACTAATCACCAATATTATTGAGTTTGGGTGTTTCGAGTACGATAGAAGCACTCTGCAGACCTCAACAAATCAGGGAAGGGTTGTTTAAAGACATATATTTGGTACTAGTGAGCTACACAAGATGTAATACTCATGCTAGCAGGGTTTTAAGACACAATTGGATGAATAGTGACTCGGGTTGAGCAACTGTGCTCAGTCTAACTCTGATACTTCGAAACTAGTGGCACTCTGGGCCAAATACTGGGTCTCACAAGCAGTCTACACTTGACTAGCAGCATCCTAGGCTCAACTAGTGGCACTCTTGGCCTAAGAACAAATACTTTAACTCCGAGAAAATACTTTAACTAACTTCGAAACACTCTGAGTCACTCCAAGATGGAATAGTAACTTTAAGACACTCCAATTCGTTCAATACTATAGGTGACTAAGCGACTAGTAGACACTTCATCAAGGTTAAGCACAAAAGCCTTTAATTGGGGCACTAGAATATGGACTAGTAGGTCACAATCGTGGGGATGGCTTGCCTCCCATGCGAGGCCACCCCTTCTACTACTTATATACTACAGAGACAGGTACAGAATAAATATAAATAGATTCTCTAGGGGTAATATTGGTAAGGATATCTTGGCTAGTCACGAATTATGGTGAATAATCACGCAATAGTCGGCCTAGCCTGTTCTTTCTGTCGGATAGTGGGTTGAGGGACTCCACTATTGGGTCGTTTCCGCACCCTTTGCCCAGGGGTGCTCCACTAGTGACATGGCTATACAAATAGTCGGGTAACCATGCCTGTAGCAACTGCTCGATTGTGATCGGGGCACAGCCCAGCTATACTAGTGCTGATCATATGAGATCTGTATCACACTAGCCGGATCTGGGCTAAGGGTTACACCTTTACTGATTCATTTCTAAGTCCTTTCAGAAGTTCTCACGTGACTAGTCATCCTGACTTAGGCGTTCATGCCCAGATCAGTCCACTAGTGACTGAATAGTCGAGATCTGTGTGGGTTCTTACTTCTTGTTTGGGTGCTAGCAGCTGTATTCTTTACTAGTGACTGTATTTTACTAAGTCATACTAGCTTTGGAGGTGCTAGTCTAGTCGGCTGGTAGGGCTGACCCACTAGTGGTATCATTCCTAAGTCCTGACTCAACTAGTAGCATGCTAACTTGACTATCAGTCCGAAGTCTCAACTATAGCCCTTGATATACGACTAGTATAGGATAGACCTGCAACAGTATTGTTATAAAATCACAAAATCTAGGTGTGAACGCATAGACGGCGTATCACCGTAGTAAATTCTAGAAGTAGTACAACTTGTATTTAAGTATGACGCCTCTCCCTCGAGAGGCTAATTAATTCTCTCTCACACACATTCTCCTCTGTACTTCCAACACTCTGAATGATGTGTGTCTCAAGCAGAGCTGACATAGATTTCTGTAGCAAAACTGTCAATTACATGCAATGCAAAGGGGCTAGAGGATGGGTATATGTTGATGCATAGATGGGCTGCAAAATTTCAGAGTTCAGCGGTGTGTTGCAACGCTTGTCATTTTAAGGGAGCGGAGGGTCAGAAAATGGCATGTTACAACAGTGTTGCAACACGTAGATTAGAAAGCTTCATAAGACAATCATATATATTAGACAGTAATTACAAAAAATACATTGTTGTAACACATTGCAACAGTGCAAACGTCTATGATGTTTTTTGTTGTAACAAAATCGGTGAATTTACTGTGCACCGTTCTATCTTTTGGCTGGATAGCTTTGACGTTGGCCTGCTTGTAGACATAAAACGATTCAACACCTCTGAACTATCCCACCTTGCCCACATGATAGAGGCTGAATACTGGTTCATCATTACAGTGATGCTCTTCATCATTTTTGATCATGTAGAGGCTGATCTCATCAGGAAGTATTCTAACTTGTTTCCTGTGTGCCAAGAAATGACCAGTGAGATAATGGATGAGGTCAACGATTTTCTCCTTCATTGTATTGCAGGTAGGCTTTTAAGGCAAGAGAAACAATGCTTATTCTGATGAACTTTTCAGAGACCACCGCTGGTTTCTCAACTGCCTGGCATGGCTTCACCCTCCCAGAATTGCAACAACATTCAAGCATCGTAAATAGTATCAGAAGTGAGGATGAAATATTATAGCACTGAAGAATTACTCATTTGTTAATATTTAAAACAGGTAACCCTAGGTCATATTCTTGTCCAGGTTCAGTATGTAGTGTAGGTGAGTATCAAATATTGATGAAAAAATGGTCCACAGGCTAATGTGGCTAATATAGCTTTGATCATGTTGCAATGTTGTATGTTGATGTTTGTGTGTCTATGCTTGAAGCATACCGAGTCTTATTATACTTTCTAGCTTGGAAATGATATGTGGACTTTTACGGTGAACCCGGTCCTACTCTTGACTTCAGTAATGGTGGCAAACAAGGCTATGTTATATACAAACAAACACACATGGGACTAATTACCCTTTTGTCACCGCTCTTATTCTTTGCACCTGATATACATTGTGCTACCCTTTACGAAGTCTGGAGCGATGGTATCTCTAAAATGGAATGGAGTGCTTTCATCTGAAAACTCAGTTCTGAGTGGCAGGATTTTGTCATCAATGTGAGGATCCACACAATAGACTCTACAGATAATATAAAACATCTACAGGCTACTGTATTGCTCAATGCCAACATCGCATTCCTGGCCATTCAGAGCATTGACGAATCTAGTGTTTATAAGGGATGTTCACCCGCTCAAATAGCGAGCTATGTGTCAACGATTATGAGCATTGGCAGTGTAACTATGGGCTTGCTTTTACTGCAGAAGAATTGTCACAAATCTCGTGATTACAACCGCACCTCAGTAAGCTATGTCTTCTATCACTTGGTTTAGCATTCAATGTGTTTTCTAGTGGGATTTCCTTGGCATACAAGAAGGAGTCTTAGGAAAGAGACTTGGCCTAGAGACCCTGGCTATAATGTACAGCTTACCTTGGGCATGAGTATCTCCAACTTACTTCATCTTCTCAACAGCATAGTAACTTGAAATCCAGGATGATTTTCTTCCTGGTATCGTTCTGCCTTATGTGTTTCACTGCGACCAGTTTATCGGTCCGAATGATCGTGGGCAGTGCATTATTAGCCATCGGCATCCTCCTCTTCTGGTACCTCACGATATCACGCGAACGGTACGAGATGCGATGGTATGTGCGGGCACATGTCCATGTGGTTGATGCTTGGTATGAATTGCGCTGGGCATTGTCGGAATATTTTGCAGCCATCTCGGATTGGATGAGAAGAATGCCGTGGATGCCTTCGAACGATGTTGAGATGGCGTCAATGGATTCGCATACCACGGCGTCACTGGAAGTTAATGATGGATCAATGGCGTGCTCTCATGGGGCGATGTCAAGAAGTTCGTATGAGACGGCGTTAGCCAGTTCACAGGCGACAATGAGCTCTTACGATACGGCGTCGATGAGATCCATATAGCGAGTGCTGACGTGTAACGGTTGACTGGAAGGGGACAGGTCGATGAGCGAGCGGTGTTCTGGCAACCTTGTAATGCTCGGTGTTAGAGTATAGCTTTTCCTGCACGAACTTTGGTACGCTATGCTGGGGCTGAATTAAAGTAATATATAAATAGACGTTATGGGCGATAACGAATTTTGAGTGAGAATCAGTGCCTTTGTAGAACAATTCATCGAGATGACAAGTGAGAGACCTGAGAGAACAAGTTCAAAAGGTATGAGAAGCCGCGTCTTTTTCCCCACCTTTGCTGTCAACGTCTCGTAAATATGGAGTGGCCGTCGTCGTGAACTGGTGCATTTGTTTGAACAAACTGGACTATCTACGCGCGATTCATATCTACTAGCTTTGCGAACAAGACAGCACTTAAAGCAAAGGTACATTTCAGAAAATTTCCGTGGACTACAAACCGAACATATAAACTTACGGAGTGGAGGGAAATGCTCACTTCAACCGACACCACATATCATTTCAAGTACGAGAAATTTGACAAGAGAACCACAATCCCATGATGGGACTGAGGGAAGACTAAACATAATAACCTACGGACACTGGGTGAGTTGGGGGCTAGTACACCATGACGAATACGCACCGCCATCTCTTCAAATCAAAAGCAAACTCCGTCCAGCTCTCTTCTCCCGACCATTCATTCCCATGGTTTCTTAAAACCCATGGCCCCGATTAATTAATCACTCGTCAAGCCTGGATACTATCCGCAATCCTGCGGCGAAGCACTGAGCAAAAGATGTAGCGCCAAGAAATCTCTTCATGCCAGAGTAGGAAGAGCTCCACCGAAAAAACATACCATTGCAAGATTCCACCTCCAGGAGTCGAACCTGGTGCAATACGCACTTCCGCCAGGCTACGATGGACTGGCAAAGAAACAGATGACACCGATCATCGCTGTCAAGGACCGTAGTTCCAGCATCATAGAGAATAGAAGCCAATGCGAAAAGTCGGTTATTCAATCGAAGCGATGGAAAATAAACCTGAACTCACCATCTTCGTTGTTCTTACCCTCGGCAGTGAGTATGAATGGACCAAGATCTTGAAGCAATAAAATTGCTTCCCCAAGCATTGAAGACCTGCATTGAGGCCAGACAGCACAGCCAAGCAAAACGCGCCTCCAATTAAGTTCCCCTCCAAGACTTGAACCTGGTCCATCCGTCCGTGTATGCAAACATACTAGGCCGCGGGAGGTGTCGAGTTAAGACGAGATAATAGCGGGGCAAGAGCAAGGTAAGGGCTCGAGGAGAGGGAACATCAGATTGGAGAGGATTGTTCTTGAAGGCGAAGGAGGGATCGTTGATCTTGATCAAGCTTCAAGTTGATATGTGTAGGACGGGCGAGTCCTGAGCGAGACGAGCGAAAGAATCAAAGGGGGTACCGGTGAAACTGACCCCTTGAGTTACGTTCAAGTGTTCAAATGTTCATGTTAACGTCAATGCCGACAAATTGTCACGCTTTATTCGTCGGAGGTCTGTGCGGCGGTGTGTGGGAGTCAAGACAGAGATTGAAGTCGCCACATATGTGCGAGGGAATCTGTCATCTTCGGGGATGTGCATGTCACAGTTGATACAGCGGAATAGCACGCGTGCGCAAACCAAACTTCGAATACTCTGCAGGCTCTCTCGCTGGTGGATTTGAAGAAAGACCAAGGCGTCCTCTCATCCCAACATCATGTCATTAGCGGCCCCTCTTGCGCGTCAACAAGGCGGAGGCCAGATCTAAAAAAAATGAAGGCCGTTTAGTAGGCTGTATGTGAACAACTAGCAGAGACGCACCATGAATACACACGCGTCATCTTGCATCCCCAGTCAAGATCCACAGGCACTCACATCCTCCCCTGCAATCTACTCTATGTACATTGATCCCCGATGAAAAAACCATATCCCTATCGTCTGGTGAGTGAAAACGTCGGCTAAGTTACATACTCCAACGCAACACAAAAACTTACTTGTGGTGAGGACTCGAGTGGCATACTACTGCTATTATCCAGCGTAGTCATGATCAGTTTGAAATCGAATCACTGCAAGTGCTTCTTTCACTTCGAAGAATGTTTCGGCAGGAATAGCTGCACCGCTCAGCGGTATTATGGTCTAGCGCATCGATACGAAGGTGGATGGTGCTGGTGCTGGTGCTGGTGTTGTTGGTGCCGGACAAGGTCCCAATCAGGAACGGCCGGGGTTGACGTTGAGGAGGAATTCCCGGGTGAGTGTTTCTCATCCTCCCCTCATCCTTCTTCTTTCCCTCTCCTCACCCTCCTTCCTCATATGGCTTCAGACATCCCAGGGAATGTCTTACGAGTGTCGGGACTATTGTCGGTGAAGTCCTCGCTATCGTACGCGTCGTCTGTGAGCTTGACGTGTTTGATCTCGTGATTGTCATGAGTTTCCTTTTTGGATTTTGCTCGATTGACTTTTTCCGCTGACGTTCATTACAGCGAGCTCGCTATCGGTGAGTCCTCTTCACTCGTTGTGTTCTTTTTGTCTCTGATCATCGTTTAGGTTTGTTTCTCAAGATGGAGTTCGCAATGGTAAGTGCTAATTGTGATCCGAAGCTCGGGTTTTTTATACTCAGTTTTCTCCCTCCAGTGACCCAGTGGCAGACCTTCCTTCCCTCCTCCCAACCGCTGAGCTCGCTACCGAATGAACAGACTTGTACTCACGTACTCAAGAGGGGAATTGTCGGGATACCAGGTACGTGTCCCACTTGGACTCGTCTATGCTTGCTAACGATATTGTAGGGTCACGCTCTCACCGAAATCACGGCCACGACATGGAGCCATTGATGTGGAGCATCCGCTCCTTCAACGAACCTCCCCCGACTTGCCGAGCATGACACTACCTCCAAGCGACGATGGCACGATCCTCGAAATCGATGGCGGAGGGCGGGAAATTACTTGTATGAGATGCTCTCTCAGCCTTAGAGGGCACACGGTGCGGGTGGCAGAAGTTCTGGGCATTCTTTTGGACGAGGTACGTATCCTTGATTCCGTTTTTTATCTTCATTCTAACACGCCATACCAGGTTCTCTACCCGAAGATAATAAGATAGTGACGGCGGCGGAGTACGACGACGAGAGGACATGTCTTGACGAAGGGGAGGGGAAGAGACGGGTGCGAGCACAAAGGTCAGGCCATGGAAGGTATGTCGACTAGCCCTTTTCTCCCTTGTGCTATCCTCACCTATTTCACCAAGATCCTGGACCTCTGTACGACGCCCTACCTCGTTCAACAAGTTTTCATTGGAGCTCACTGGCGCCGACATTAGGAGCGGCTGCGACGGGGGACGAATGACTGGAATGTACTAGGTGCGTCTTCTCGCCTATTCTTGAAGGGCAAGCTAACAGTGTCAGCGTAGTGAGACTGGACTACATGACCGAGTAGTACACGCAGAGTAGTGTAGCGTGCGGGAATGCGGGCTCGGGCGAATGGGATGGGAGTGCATGCACGTCGACATCGCTAGGGGAGTGGTGGGGCAGTAGTAGACCATGCATGGCTTGAGCAGCGCAGACGTGCCTTGACGTGGAGGCGCCGCGAACTTGATTCTCATGCAACAGAGGTGTCGTAGATGCCGGGTGGTGTTGATCAGGGAGTACACGAAATAACTGGTGTCCTCTCTTCATCTCTTGAATGGCATATCTCGTAATACCAGTGCGGATTCGGCATTATCTACCAGTGACTCATTACATAACTATGCGCACCAGCATCATCAACTCATAGAGGAATCCAAGGGTGACAATCCGGAAACCCCAGGCCGACGTACGAACCACGATCGTTTTCCGTCGTACCACACCACCTCCGTCGTTTCTATGAATCGTTTGACTATCCCTTGTCCCCTTACTTATGCGAATGACAAGGGAAGAGTTTGATCTGAGGCTTGATTGTGAAGGGCGCCGTACTCTGGTTTTCTCCGAGGGTTACGCAAGTCCAGCTGGCGTAGAGCGTGAAGTTGGCGCAGAGGGCGCGGAACTATGAAGATGGGATTTTGGTACGGGACTTGCATCTGTGTCACTTTGGAATTTACATGAGTATCCAGGTTCTAACGTTCACTACCCGATGACCAGTGTAATGAAATTGTTATTTTTTCGATGCGAGTTTCGACGCAACCTTGGGAACAGATGATGAAGAGGCGTTCCTTACATCCGTTTATCGTCGTCTGAACTTGCCGCCTATTTCGCTACAAGCTCCCCATTGACGGCCGGTGCCTGTTTCAGACTCGGCGCGGTCTTGATTGTACACCTCCCCGGCTAATACAAACCACCGCCACCAATTACTCCGTGTCTTCGACGTCACCTACCAATGGCTAATCAACTATGTGCGCCAGCTCATAGAGGAATCCGAGCAAACCTCGTCGGGTGCTCCCTAGTCAACACCGCCCAGCATCTCCAACACCTCTGTCGCACGAAAATCAAGTTTACGTGCCCCATTTCCCTCGACTACGACGTGGTCCTTGCGTTGTATTCGAACCACACCCAGGAGGACGAGTAGCTTGAAGATAAGGCTCACGCTGAGGTTGTGGAAATACCCAGCAAAGAGCTTGAATGTCCTGGGGGACCTATGAGATTTCGTGGGAGGACATCGCTTGAAAATTCTGTCGTTTCGCCGGGCTAGGTGTGTATGCTCACCTCTGCACCTCTTCATACCAATGAAGGTTCCCAGATATATGGTACACGAAACCCGAGATCAAGCCTCATGGCAAGTATTATTTCTATCGTTCTTCGCTCCTTTAATCCGAACCAGGTTGGTACAGGACATGAATAAAACCTTTCGAGTACCCTTGTCTTCGATGCTCTATGAAAACCAGCCACGCTACAAGAACATACGCACCATTCCTGTTCATCCAACTGCCGCCTCGTATAACTTCTGTAGTCGAGTATATCCTGGGTCATCGAAACACACCAAAAGCTAATAGACGCTGTCGTTAAAGTTCCGTTCGAATGTGAAAGAGACCCAAGATAACCATGGGACTAGGGCCCTTGTAACAGTCGGACAATACAGAGTCGAACGTGCTGCGACTGTACGACGATGATGGAAGTTCTAATCAATTGCATCCTTGTTAATTTTAGGATTTATTTCCCTCGTACAGGCACCAATGCGTGTCTATCCAGACTTTCGGTGCTTCAGCGCTAGCCATGTCTCACTATACCCACCCTACCCTATTCAATGCATCATGATATGGCGTCAATCACCTTCTCATCACTGTTCCAAAGGCTGTTGATGTCGCAACGCGACAATGCGTAGCAGCTTCGAGCGACAGTCTGGCCTGACCGCTTTCACTGTTCATGCTTGTCAATGCATATATCAACAGAGGTAGAAAGCGTGCTCATCATGGTCTGTCGTACGCGTCCAGATCAAGCCCGGAGAAGGTGTGTTCTCCGGGCAAAAGAAGAAAGCGCGGAAATCTTCTGATTTGATCTCATGAAGTAGGGCACAGCCGAGTAAGGCGGTATATTACACATGAAAGAGTATGAGAACAATAGCCCTTCTACCTTGCTTCTGTATCTCGACCTCGTCGTTGAACCGCAGCTCATGTTTCTCCCTCAGTGGTTACTGAAGGCCCTCTGGCGAGTGCTTTGCAATCAAGCTGGCGGTCTCTCGCCTTTGAAAGCCATTCTACTCCTCTGGCGCTCCTTCTGGCGCTTCTTCCGACGTTTCTCGCGTACTCAAGATGACGGAGCACCTGATAAACCGCCACAGCACATACCTGACCAAGTTTCCTATTTGCCCCAAGATATAGAGCCGACGGCCCGCGCGATGTCACTTGCGGTCGAAGATGAGCCCGTCCCCACTGTCGTGTGCCGAAGCGCTACTCTACCTTATGATCCAAGGTTTTCCTGCGATATGGCCCCAATGTCTGTGGCGAGCCCTTCCCAGACTGCTTTGGAAGTCGAAACCGATTTGAATCCATCGAATGGACATCCGCCCCTCCACGATTCTCGTCTTTCATCGATCACGCAATCACCAATTGAAAGCTCCCTTGATTCGTATGCCCGCTCCAATCCCTCACAATTATCTCAAGATACTAGCGGTACAGTGTTCAACTCTGCCGCGGATGCGCCTCTGAACCCATCGCATGCTCATCTACCGCATGCCAGATCTACGTCTGGCAAGGGGGGACTGTCGTCCGACTCTGAAGCTGAGATGTCCGCGGTAGTGATGCCATTGCCACCTACTGCTGCACAACACGATGGGAAAAATCAAGATGTTTCCACATTGCAGAAGGAACATCCTTTCTTCGTACCCATAGTTCCCAGAATGCATCCCAGGGTTGGGTCTCGGTATGTCCATTTTTATTGTAATCCTTGCCTACTCTAATGACATGCACCAGACCAAGAAATCCGCACATTCCAAATGTACCCTGGGTTGCTCCTTTGACTACCTCATTTACTCTGTACGTCTTCGTTTCTTCATTTAAGTTCTTATATTTGATGTTCGTGTCTAGCCATGGTGTTCCCAGCGATTGGTCCCTGCACATCACCCCTGCAGGTGTTCGCTACTATGTACATGAGAAGATATTTCACGCGTCGGTCAATGCATCGTCGACGTCCTGCAGCTCTCTGCTACGAATTTTTACCTACGAAGATACCGCCTTACCAGAAGTCCTGCAAGAGCTGACTGGGTTTCTGGATAATATCCTCAGTTACATGCACACCGAGGGTATTACTCTCCCACCCAAAGTAGATCTTGTTTTGAGCTTCGGACCGGAACTTGAGGATGGCACCCATTGTTGCGGATATTACTTTGCAGATCACATGCATTGTTCAATCTTTTGGCTGGATGGCTTTGACATTGGCATGCTTTCAAAGGTAGAACGGTACAACACCTCTGAACCATCCCATCTTGCCCATGCGATAGAGGCTGAATACTGGTTCGTCGTTACAGTGATGCCTCCATCATTTTTGATCATGTAGGGGCTGATAATAGTCAGGGTGCATTATCGCATGTTTCCCTGCCAAGAAATGACCAGTGATATAATCGAAGAGGTCAACGATTTTCTCATTCATTGTATTACAGGTAGGCTATCAAGGCAAGAGATATGATGCTTACTCTGACGAACTTTTCAGAGACAAACTTTGGTTTCTCTGCTAAACATGGCTTCACCCTCCCAGAGTTGCAACAACATTTCAGCATCGTGAATAGTATCAGAAGTGAGGATGAAATACTATAGCACTGAAGAATTACTCATTTGTTATGTTCAAAACAGGTAACCCTAGGTCATATTCTCGTCCAGGTTCGGTATGTAGTATAGGTGAATTTCAAATATCGATGAAAAAAAGGACACAGGCTAACGCGGTTGGTATAGCTCTGATCATGGATAAACGCTGTATGTTGATGTGTGTATGGCCATGAAGCATAGTCTTACACTTTCTAGCTCTAACAAGATACATGCACTTTTATGGTGAACCCGATCCTTTTTTTGGCAACAATAACAGTGACGAACAAGGCCATGTTCTATTTAAACGATTTCGCACACCACTAATTACCCTATTATCGCCGCTCTTATTCTTTGCCCCTGATATACATTGCACTGCCCTTCACGAAATCTGTATCGATGGTATCTCTAAAACGGATTGGAGTGCTTTCACCCGAAAACTCAGTACTGAATGGCAAGATTTTGTCATCAATGTGAGGATCCGCACGATAACTCTAAAGATAGTCTAACATGTCTACAGGCTACTGTATTGCTCAATGCCAACATCGCATTCCTGGCCATTCAGAGCATTGACGAATCTAGTGTTAATAAGGGACGTTCACCCGCTCAGATAGCGAGTTATGTATCAACGATTATGAGCATCAGCAGTGTAACTATGGGCTTGCTTTTACTGCAGAAGAACCGTCACAAATCTCGTGTTTACAACTGCACCTCAGTAAGCTATGTCTTCTATCACTTGGTTTAGCATTCAATGTGTTTTCTAGTGGGACTTCCTTGGCATACAGGACACAGACTTAGGACGGAGACTTGGCCTAGAGACTCTGGCTATCATGTACAGCTTACCTTGGGCATTACTCATGTGGGCGTGAGTATCTCCAAATTACTTTATCTTCTCAGCAGCATAGTAACCTGAAATACAGGATGATTTTCTTCCTGGCAGCATTCTGCCTTATGTGTTTCACGGCCTCCAGCTTATCGGTCCGAATGATCGTGGGCAGTGCATTATTAGCCATCGGCATCCTCCTCTTCTGGTACCTCACGATATCACGCAAACGATATGAGCTGCGATGGTATGTGAGGGCGCATGTTCATCTGGTTGATGCTTGGTATCGATTGTGCTGGGCATTGTCGGAATACCTCGCAGTCATAGTGGATTGGATGAGAAGAATGCCGTGTATACCTTCGAACGATGTTGAGATGGCCCCGATGGGTTCGCATACTACGGCGTCATTCGTTAATGATGAGTCGACGACATGTTCCCATAAAACGATGTCAACGAGCTCGTATGAGACGGCGTTAGCCAGTTCACAGGCGACACTGAGCTTTTACGATACGGCATCAATGAGATCTCACACAGCGGATGTTGACGTGTAACGGTTGACTGGAAGGAGATAGGTGGTGGGCAAGTGGTGTTCGGACAACCTTGTAGTGTTTCGGTGTTGTATCTAGAGTGTCCCTTTTCCCGCGTAGACTTCAATACCCTAAGCTGAGGCTGAATTGAATGTAATATATAGACATTACTATTGACGATAATGAGTATCGAATAACAACCAGTGCCCTTGTATCACTGATGAGAAATAATTCATCGAGGTGACGAATATACTGATCAGTGGCGCCTAACAAGAGTCCCGATACCGGTAACCAAGCTCCTTGTTCAGCTGATGAAGGACTTGAGGCGTGATCCTCATCGCTAAGCTCCTCGACCTCCCTGTTGTAGTTGGAGTACATCGCAAAGATGACATCGTGGTTGAGCGAGACAGGATTCACACATCCGAGTGGTAAACGACAAAGGCGTTGGAGATATTGAGTTATGTCGCACAAGGAGAATATGTTGAGATCGCCTCTGATGTCTTCAGGATCGACATTCTCTGGGTTCTCGGGCACCTTAATCATTTATCAAACCTGGGTACCATCCGCAATTTCGAAACACTGAGCAGAAGATGCAGCACCAAGAAAACTCGAGTATCCACCGAAAGAGGAGACGGAAAATGCAATTTCACCTCCAGGAGTCGAACCTGGTGCATTACGCACATCTACTAGGCTATGATGGGCTGGTATAGAAACAAATGACACCGATGATCTTTGTCAAGAAGTTAACTCGAATCGGAGGTCGTTAAGAAGAGTCGGACGTTCGATCAAAAGGAAGGCAGATAAAACGTCTGCGCCAGCCCCTTGTCCCTACTCTTAGTAACGTGTTTCAATGGATTAAGATCTTGAAGCAATGAAACTGCATCCCCAAGCGTTGAAGATCTCCATCTAGGCCAAGCAGCACAGCCTCGCAAAATGTGCCTCCCCTCCAAGACTTAAACCTGGTCCATCCATCCATGTACGCAAACATACTAGGCCGCGGGAGGTATCGAGTTAAGGCGAGATAAGGGCTCAGGGAGAGGGAATATCAGATTGGAGAGGACTGTTCTTGAAGGCGAAGGAGGGATCATTGATCTCAGTCAAACTTCAAGTTGATATGTGCAGGCCGGGCGAGTACTGAGCGAGACGCATGAATGAATCAAAGTGAAACCGACTCCTAGAGTTCAAGTGTTCGAACGTTCGTGTTAACATCAGCACTGACAAATTGCCACGCTTTATTCATTGGACGTCTGTGCAGCGGTGTGTGGGAGTCAAGGCAGAGATTGAAGTCACTACATACGTGCGAGGGAAGCTGCCATCTTCGGAGATGTGCATGTCACAGTCGACTCTACAGCGGAATAGCAAGCGTGCGCAAACCAAACTTCAGATACTCTGCACGTTGTCTCGCAGGTGGATCGGGAGAAAGACGAAGGCGTCCTCTCATCCCAACATCGCGTCATTCGTGGCACCCTCTTGTGCGTCAACAAGGCGGAGGCCAGATCTAAAGAAAACAAAGGCCGTCAGGTAGGCTGTATGTGAATAACTAGCAGGAAAGCACCATGAGTACACACGCGTCACGCATCATCAGAGGAGATGTGAGTAGAAGCCATCTCCGGAACTTTGGCTCGGTAGTAGTCATGGTCCAGTCTTCAGTCTTCTTTGCGGGATCGCATTACCACACAATTCAAAAAGATAGCATAAACCACAGCAAGTGCGAGGGTGACGACTGAAGCTGAAGGCCCATAATGGCTGTCGGTTGGCAAGAAAGATACAGCACAGCCACTGCAACGTGCGAGGTCGGAGGCCAAACGAATGCTGGAACTCACGATCCTGATATTATTCTTGTGGACTAACAGTGAAATTTATAATCTGAATACATATGAAAAATAGAAAGACAGGAGGGTAAATTAATACAAGAGGCTTTACTACTCGATTATTCTACGCTTTCCCCGTCGGCATCTTTTTCTTGCTTCTGCTCCATTGTTTTTGTCTTGTCCTCAAGGAGCAGCAGCGGGTGGAATACGTTGAATGTATAAAGCGCCAGTACAACCATCATTCCATCGAGCACATCTAATTACCTGGTCAGAACGTCGGGCAGCCCAAAGCAAAGACACAAAGCCTCACTGAAATAAACTTGGGTGGTAATGATTCTTCCTGTCCACCCATCTGACAGCTCAATCGTTCGATACACAGCTCTGTTCGACTATCAGCTCCGCCGCCAAGTACCAAGACCCAAAAAAAGGACGTACCGAATAAATAGACAAATCGTGCTAAAGGCGAGAGCTGCGATAAGGAGTATCAATTTCACGTTCAAGTGTCCTCTGGTATGTCGCGTCCGCGAATAAGCTTATCAGCCAAGTATCTTATAAGAAACTCGCTACCCAAGATGGCGTATATCGTGATGACAGCTGCTTCTAGTCAGAGAGAAGGTCTTGTAAACGACGAATCGATGAACACACCCAATTGGAAGGCAATACCACCTAGCATGATGTGTCCTCCCTGGCCAAACCACGAATCGTTAGATTCCAACGCCAGCAAGAAGATGGTTCCTAAAAACCTTTTCGGGATTCGTGTTCTCCGACACAGCCGTTGCTGCCAATCCACCACCAATCGCTTGTATCACAAGGGATATCACATCGCAAGAACAAAAGAGCATAATATCTATATAAAAAACCAGACGATGAGCAAGACGATAAGAAGCCCCCATGGGCAGAAATTACACACAGGCTCTTGGACTCAAGCGACTGTAACCGGTTCCGAGACGCTTGATCAACTTCTCGGGGATCACAAAGTTGACGGCCAAGAGCGGCGTCGGCGCCAAGATAGTACAGGTCAATCTATTCTCATAATTAATCAAAAGACGTTGGGGACTGGACCAGGCAGTGGTACTCACTGCATCTCGTAAGGATCTGGGAGGTCAGGATTAGAACTTGACCACAGCCGCGCACTCCAGCCCAGGATCTCGAGGAAGCCGCATAGGACAGCGGTAGCCAGTAGCCACCATGCGTGAGAAAAAACTGCTTGGCCGGTGTGTATCACTGCGACGAGTCAAAGAGGTGCATATTGAGCCACGAGATGAAGGTATCATACGGGTCGATACGGAAAAGAGGATTAAGAAGAGTATTGAGATCCCTCTGTCGGGAACATATCCGTAGAAACCTAGGTCGTCCACTTCCGCAGCGCGTTTGCCGAAAACAAGTACTGTAATACCTACAGGTTAGGACAAAGGACGTTGGATAAATCAAGAGTGACTTGCCTTTGTCTGGCATCATGGAGATGGTCGCTAGATGGAAGCAGGCACCATCCTTCTCTTATACGCTCGCCAAGATATCATGCAGCTAAGGTTGGAACGGGATGAAATGGCGGACTTCGGGAAATTGTTAGATCATTGTGCTATGTGTGGGAGGGCGCCTATGTGGATGAATTATTAGGCTACGGCGACGGGCACAGATTCCTCGAGAACCAATACCTTTTCCGATGGTGCCAGTTGGCATTTGACTCCCATTGCGCAAAGAACGAAGGTCCGGATAGACTGGACCTGGCTGCAGAGGTGTTCGACAATGCATGCAAGTACTCGTCAGGCAGAGTCTAAGTATACGCATGTCGTCGACGTCAGACGAACCTTAAAATGAATCAAGTGGGAAAATCAATCACCAGAAAGGATGGCTGTGCACGTCTTCTTTGCTCCCGTGGTGCACCGGTTACTTGCCCGACCAATGATGACGCCTTTCGATTGATATCTGTCTTTGGCAGCAGGCCTGTCTAAAGGCGTGCGCGTCATTACATTGTTCTTGAGCTTTTGTGAGGCACCTTCTCGTACTATGAGCAATTCATAATGGGAAAGAAACAGTAACTCACTTTCAGGGTCAACAGGTTCTCTTATCTCGTCCCCAGATGCAGCACCGCTCAAATTTCTCCGTTAGACGCCGCGAACACTTGAAATTGAATGGTGCACGTTGTGGCCGTGATTATCTCTCGGGGTCGTTTCAGCGTAAGGAGAATCAACCACGGTATCTAGCATATGTTCAGCAAGGATGGAAAAATAAGTCGATACAAGTATGCACCGAGTACTGTCCCGGAGTTCGTGTTCGCGGGGTGTAGCACCTTATTATATAGACCTTTCATCACGAAGATCAGTCCCAAGATGACAGCACAATCGTGGGGGGAAATTTGACATCTACAAGCATAATAATACGAATATGTTAGTGAGTAGCATCGGAATAGCGATGGGATACTTAGTTTACCCAGGCATTAACGCAGTCTTCGAATTCGAAGTAGGGGACATCCAACTAGAAAACATTTATTCTTGAAGACATTGAGGTAGCGAGGCGTTCCAGTCTCGAGGAAGTGCGCGCCTAGAAGGAAAAACACATCAGCGACAATAAACATGGGACAAGAGAATGTTAGGAAGGTGGTCGAGGACTCACTGATGGGATGTCCCAGTCTTAGACGGTTTGTCCACCGCGTTCTTCACGTTGTTCATGAAGTCTCCCTCCGAGGGACGCGATTTATCCTGCCAGCTAATCTTCACAACCATTTCCATGCCTTTCCGCTCTTCGTAATCCTCTGCCGTTGCTTCGACGACACTTGTATCCCGTCCGATAATTCCAAGCTGTCGGAAGATGATTTTCCCCAGCATTAGGACCACCGGATTTCCATCCGCCTTCTTCAGCGTCAGATTTCTCCCTTCGAATAGCGTCGCGGTGTCCTCCAGATGTTCCTCCGTGTATTCTGCGTAGTCGCTGAGGATGGGGTCTTCAACGATACTGTGAATACCGTGTTTTTCGAGCATGACTCGATGCAATCCGATTAGTATAGCGATGAAGGAGTCCGGGTCATCTTCCATGGCAATCTCTTGTGATACGATAATCGACGAGCGTTCATAATAGTGCAGCTGGAGATGAGTACTGCCAATCAAGGAGCCAATACTGTGCGTCCTGAACACGGCACTAGACCACACTTCCATCGCATAGCGCCGGTACTGCAACGGTGGGTCTTCCTTGTTCTCGTTATCCACGCATTCTCATAGATTCGCGCGACGCCAAGACTCAGCCTCCTCCTGCATCGTAGTTGGATCTTTCTCTTTCGATGTTCAGAACGCCTTTCCAGATCGCGAGCTACATGAGTCCACGTCGAATTTACGACCTCCGGGGTACATTGACATCTGAAGAAAGCATCATATCCCTCTCGTCTGGCGAATGAAAGCGTCGGCTAAGTTACATGCTCCAACGAAACACAAAAGCTTACCTGCGGTGAGGACTCGAGTGGCATACTACTGGCCATTATCCAGCGCAGTCATGCTCAGTTTAAAATCAGATGACTGCAAGTACTGCTTTGGCTTCAAGAATGTTTCGAAAGGCACGGTAGTATCTCTCAGCGGCGTCATGGTCAAGTACACCGATACAAAGGTAAATGGTGGTGGTGCTGCTGTTAGTGCCGGACAAAGTCCCAATCAGGAACGGCCGACTGGCACTCGGCCCGGCTACCGAAGCAGCGCCACCAGCATCCAACTTCATCAACTTTTCTACCGTCTCCCTATCATCTGCAGTTTTCCGCCTTAGTCTTTGACTGTCCTTATGTGCGTCTCCTTTTCTCAACTACTTGCTACGAAGAGGGATGACTAGGGAGATCTTGTAGATGCCCCACATTTACCCCGGCCTTAATATTAATGTTGGACCTCTAGACTATACAGACCCTTCTTCGCGAGAACGAATGTCCAAAGCATCGGCATCGATACAGACCACTTTGAAGTAGAGCTAAACTTGATCATCAAGTACGGAACTGCAGGCGAAGGGATATGGTGGCCACACAGATCGTACCTTTTCGATTTCGTGCTCTTGGAAGACTGGGGAAACCTCTGCCGGTAAAGAGAAGTTGAAGCGAGACCGAGGAAGTCATTCCATGAGGACGCAGGACAACGGTTTATTCGCTTATTTTCAGCTATTCCAGTTAGCTTCGCTCCTGAGCTCCATTAATTCATCGATTCTCTCGCCGACTTGCTCATGACAGTACAAAACATCAGTTCTATGCGCTCTGCGATGGATGAAAGCGCCTACGTATACGACATACCATCATCATCGTACGTGGACCACATTAACATCGTTTACACTATCCTCCCTACCAATCCTGGACGTTAACCTTATATCCCGTGTCTGCAAACTTGGGTTGGCGTAGGAGAAGAAGATCGTGCGGGCAAGATAAGGAAATCTTGCTCCCAGAAGATCACATAAGCAGCATGCTCTCTCCCTGAACCTTCCCTGCCGTTGTTGTGGACCCAGTCGTCCGTTGAGAACTGGACGTGGATGATTTCTTTGTGATTTTGACGTCTCGCTCCCGCTGTGGAAAGTGTTCAAATCCAGACATCAGTTGTGGCGGCGCCGGCGTCCTACGACCCTCGGGTTCCCCGGTGATATACATCGAGGAGGAACTCGGGGTAGTTATTGAAAGGTGTACACGAAGCTCGAGATCAAGCCTCATAGCAAGTATTATTTCTATCGTTCTTCGCTGCTTTAATCTGAACCAAGTCATTATAGGGTATTAATAAAACCTCTTGAGTTCCCTTGGATTAGATGCTTTATGAAAACCAGCCGTGCTGCACGAACATACGCACTATTCCTCTTCCTACCACCACCTCGTATAATTTGTGTTGTCGAGAATCATCGACATCCTGGGTCATAGCGTATCGTGGAATAATAGCTTGCTTATTATCCTTATGCCCACACTGCTGCGACCCTTACTATTCAATCTGTCATAACCTGCCGTCAATCGAGCCTGGGCTCGTCAATCGCCTTCCCGTCACTGTTCCAAAAGCTGTTAATGTTGTAACACGGCAATGCATAACAGCTTCGAGCGACAATCTGGCGTTACCCCCTGGATACTTGTGCGGGTCAACGTATATATCCAAAGAGATAGCACAACATGCTCATCATGGTCTATTGTATACGTCTGGACTCGGTCCGGAGAAAACATATTCTCGGACTGAACAAAGGGCACGAAATCCTCCGATTTGATCTTGTGAAATTAGCTACACAGCCGAGGAAGGCCGAACAATACACACGAAAAGGTGGTAAACAACAGTCCTTGCCCCTTGCTTCTGTATTTTGACCTCATCGCTGAACCACAGCTCATGCTTCTCCCCCAATGGTTGCTGAAGGCCCTTCAGCGAGTTCTTTGTGGCCGCGTTGGAGGTCGCTCGCCTTCGAAAGTCATTCTGCTCCTCTGGCGCTTCTTCTGGCGCTTCTTACGGTGTTCCTCGTGTACTCAAGATAACGGAGCACCTGATAAACCGCCGCAGCACATAACTGACCAGGTTTCCTATTTACCCCGAGATATAGAGCCAACAAAGTGCGCGATGTCGCTTGCGGTCGATGGTGATGCAGATGAGCCCGTACCAGCTGTCGTATGTCGTGCCACTCTACCTAACGATCTAAGATTTTCCCACGATGTGGCTTCAATGTCTGTGGTGAACCGTTCCCAGACTGGTTTAGCAGTCGAAACCGAGCTGTCTACATTGAATGGACATCCACCCCTCCACAGTCCTCGTCCTTCATCGATCACGCGATCACCAATTGAAGGCACCCTTAATTCGTATGCCCACTCCAATCCATCACAATTATCTCAAGATACTAGCGGTACAGTGTTCAACTCTGCTGCAGATACGCATCTGAACCCATCGCATGCTCACCTGCGGCATGCCAGACCTACGTCTGGAGTGTTGTCTGACTCTGAAGCTGAGACGTCCCCAGTAGTGATACCATCACCACCTACTGCTGCACAGCACGATCTGAAAAATCAAGATTTTTCCACATTGCAGAAGGCATATCCTTTCTTCATACCCATATGTCCCTGGATTCTTCCCTGGGCTGGGTCTAGGTATGTCCATTTTTACCGTAATCGTTACCTACTCTAATAATATGCACCAGACCAAGAAATCCGCACATTCCAAACGTACCCTCGATTGCTCCTTTAACAACCTCATTTACTCTGTACGTCTTTGTTTCTTTATTTAAGTTCTGATCTTTGATGTTCGTGTCTAGCCATGGTGTACCCAGCGATTGGTCTCTGCACATCAATCCTCAGGGTGTTCGCTACTATGTACATGAGATGATGTTTCACGCATCGGTGAATGCGTCGTCGACGTCCTGCAGCTCTCGGCTACGAATTTTCACCCACGAAGATATCATCTTACCAGAAGTCCTGCGAGAACTGACCGGGTTTCTAGATAACATCCTCAATTACATGCACGCCAAGGGAACTAATCTTCCACCTAAAGTAGATATTGTTTTGAGCTTCGGATCGGAATTTGAGGACGGCACCCATTGTTGCGGATATTACTTTGCAGATCACATGCACCGTTCTATCTTTTGGCTTGATAGCTTTGATGCTAGCATGCTGGCACATGTAAAACTGGGCAACACCTCTGAACCATCTCATCTTGCCCATGCGATAGAGGCTGAATACTGGTTCGTCGTTACAGTGGTGCTTTTCATCATTTTGATCGTGTAGGGACTGATAATAGCCAGGGTGCATTATCGCATGTTTCCCTGCCAAGAAATGACCAGTGATATAATCGAAGAGGTCAACGATTATCTCATTCATTGTATTGCAGGTAGGCTTCTAAGGCAAGAGAAACGATGCTTATTCTGACGAACTTTTCAGAGACAACCTTTAGTTTCTCAACTGCTAGACATGGCTTCACCATCGCAGAATTGCAACAATATTTCAGCATCGTGAATATTATCAGAAGTGGGAATGAACTACTATAGCACTGACGAATTACTCATTTGTTATATTAAAAACAGGTGACCCTAGGTCATATTCTCGTCCAGGTTCGGTATGTAGTATAGGTGAATTTCAAATATCGATGAAAAAAAGGACACAGGCTAACGCGGTTGGTATAGCTCTGATCATGGATAAACGCTGTATGTTGATGTGTGTGTCGCCATGAAGCATAGTCTTACACTTTCTAGCTCGAGATCGATACGTGAACCTTTATGGTGAACCCCAACCTTTCCTTTGCACCAATAACAGTGGTGAACAAGGCCATGTTATATATAAACGATCACGCACAGGACTAATTGCCATACTGTCGCCGCTCTTATTCTTTGCACCCGATATACACTGTGCTGCCCTTCATGAAGTCTGTCATAATGGTATTTCTAAAACGGATTGGAGTGCTCTCATCCGAAAACTCAGTACTGAATGGCAAGATTTCGTCATCAATGTAGGGATCCGCACGATAGACTCTAGAGATAGTCTAACACATCTACAGGCTACTGTATTACTCAATGCCAACATCGCATTCCTGGCTATTCAGAGCATTGACGAATCTAGTGACGATAAGGGACGTTCACCCACCCAGATAGCAAGCTATGTGTCAACGATTATAAGCATCGGCAGTGTAACTATGGGTTTACTTTTACTGCAGAAGAACCGTCACAAATCTCGTGTTTACTTCCTCAACAAGGTAAGCTATATCTATGGTCGCTTGGTTTAACATTGAATGGGTTTTCTAGTGGGAATTCCTTGGCATACAAAGAGGAGACTTAGGAGAAAGACTTGGTCTAGAGACTCTGGCTATCATGTACAGCTTACCTTGGGCGTTACTCATGTGGGCGTGAGTATCTCCAACTTACTTTATCTTCTCAGCAGCATAATAACCTAAAATCCAGGATGATTTTCTTCCTAGCGGCGTTCTGCCTTATGTGCTTTACCGCCTCCAGCTTATCGGTCCGAATGATCGTGGGCAGCGCATTATTAGCCATCGGCATCTTCATCTTCTGGTACCTCACGATATCGCGCGAACGATATGAGCTACGATGGTATGTGAGGGCGCATGTCCATTTGGTCAATGCTTGGAATCGACTGCCCCGGGGACTTTCCGTACGCATCCCGGTCAAGTTCAATATGGGTTGGACACAAAGAACGCTGCAGATGAGTTCGAACGATGTTGAGATGGCGCCGACAGGTTCGCATAAGACGGCGTAACCGGTTAATGATAAGTCGACAACATGTCCTCATAAAACGATGTCAACAAGCTCGTATGAGACGGCGTTAGCCGGTTGACAGGCGACAATGAGCTTTTATGATACGGCATCGATGAGATCTCATGTAGCGAGTGTTGACGTATAACGGTTGACTGGAAGGAGACGGGTCGATGGGCGAGCGGTGTTCGAACAACCTTGTAGTTCTTCGGTGTTGCATCCAGAGTATCCCTTTTCCCGCGCGAACTTTGGTACGCTATTCTGGGGCTAAATTAAATATAATATATAGATAGACGTTATGGACGATAACGGGTTTTGAATGAGAATCAGTGGCTTTGTAGAACAATTCATCGAGATGACAAGTGAGAGATCTGAGAGAACAGGTTCAAAAGGTACGAGAAGCCGCGTCTTTTCTCTGCCGTCGACATTTCGCAAGCATGGAGTGACCGTCGTCGTGAACTGGTGCATTTGTGCGAACAAACTGGACTACCTAGATGCAATCCGCACCTATCAATTTGCGAACAAACAACGCTAAAACAAAAGGACATTTTAGAAAAAATTTCCTTGGACTATAAATCGAACATGTACACCTACGGAGTGGAGGTTCAATCGACGCGACATATGGTTTCAAATGCGAGAAGATTGACAAGAGAGTCGTAGTAATCTCATGATTGGTGCGAGTGTCTGTGGGAGGCATAAGCATAATAACCTATAGATAAGCGAGCTGGGGATTACACACAATTATGCACTGCCATCTCTTCGAATCAAAAGCGAACGTCTGGCTCCCTTCTCCCGATCATTCAACATCCGCGTGGTTTCTTGTAACCCAAGCCTGATTTATTAATCATTTATCAAACCTCGCAATCCTGCGGCAAAGTACTGAGCAGAAGGTGTAGTCCCAAGAAACCCCTGCGCACTCGAGTAGGAAGAGCTCCACCAAAAAAAAGATACCGATACATTATTCCACCTCCAGGAGTCGAACCTGGTGAATTACGCACATCCACAAGGCTAGGATGGACTGATACAGAAACAGATGTCCCTGATCAAGAACCTGCATCAGAGGTCGTTAGGAAGAGTCAGACGTTCGATCGAAAGGAAGGGAAATAAAATGTCCATGTCAGCCCCTTCTTTATCCCCACCGTGGGCAGCGTATTTGAATGGACCAAGATCTCGAAGCAACAAAAATGCGCCGTGTCCCCAAGCATTGAAGATATGTATCGAGGCAGCCAAGATGTACTTCCGATTCAGTTCACCTCCAGGGCTCGAACCTGGCTCGTCTATCCGTGTATGCAGACATACTAGACCATGGAAGATGTCAAGTTAAGGCAAGATAATAGCGAGGTAAGAGCGAGGCAAGGTTTCAGGAAAAGCCAATGGCATCAGAGAAGTTCTTGAAGGCGAAAAAGAGATCAAGCTGATATGTTCAGGTCGGGTGAGTACTGAGCGAGATGATAATAGGGTTTGAGTGATGCACGTTTCGAGTGGATGGGACGGCACGCTAGTCAGGACGAGTGAGTTTCACCCATGGAGTGACACGGTGGCTTTCGGCAAATACACAGCCACTTCCCGATTCTTTCCGAAGAATGAGGAAACGATAGAGGGTTATTATCGGGGCGCCTCTGCTTTCTTCGCAAGCAATCAAGGGGATAGCCCAAATACCGAGCTTGCATCCGCAAGCTCCATCACATTGCGGGAAGCGGTAGGCTAAGAAAGGATGCTGAGGATGATGTGTGTGGGGGGTGGTGGAGGTTCAGAAGTGATGAGCGAACCGCAAGGTCAGAGAGCAGGTGGTTGAGTACGTCGTAAGGCTGCCAATTCAAATTCAGCACGAATAGCAGGATGTTCCCGCACATATAGAGTCCATGCCTTGGAAGACCACCGACCCAAGGCCTGGATAATGGCCTCTGACAGTCCGAGCGATGCGTAGAATGTAGCTCCACCCACTCGCAATGAGTGACCACCGAAATCTTTTCCCATAAATGTGAAGAATTTTTTGTCAAACCAAGAGCGAGTTGGGATAGAGCCATCCTCGCAAAGAAACAGAGGAGACCGTGGGCCATGATGGGAGTCCCGTAAGACCACATAATCATATAGGAGTTTAACGGGGTCAGCAACGTCTTGGTGCGTGAATAAGACATCAGACCCGTGATAGAAAGGGTCTGATTTGTGATAGGGCAGATGATATTGTACGCGGCCATTGTCAAAGAGAAGTGAAGAGCGCTTGATCACCTTGCGATAATCTTGGAGCTGTTTATTGTTATTCCAGACCAGTTCTCCGGATCGATGACAGCCATAGAAGCCACATGAAAGAATAGTAATGAACAGGAGATCGTCGTAAGACCCTGACATTTGAGCCAAGAGTTGAAAAGTAGCGAGATGTGATTGGCGGAGGGGGAGCTTCCTCTGAACGGGGTCCGCCCAGACCTTTTTTGATCCTCGTATCGTTGCTTGTACTAGGGGAGAACGTCGACTGTCGTCAAAGTAGGGATAAATGTCTCGAAGAAAGTGTCGGACTCCTGAAAGATATTTCGGGCTGGAGGCAATGAATTGTGATGTGTATGCGATGTAACGGCTAAGCGTTAAGGGTGTTGGGTCAAGGGGAAGATGGTGGGAAATACAAAAGCGTGCATAGTCCCTTGCACCGGTAGCATAACCTTTAATTGATGCCAATTCGAGAGCATGGAGCTGAAGGAAGAGAGCCCGTTCGTCAATAAATGACAACGAGTGGACTGGGCGAGCTGTGCGTGGAGCACGCTCACCCAGGGCAGTTAAAAGCACTCTCTCCATCGCACCGGCAGAAGCTCCCTTGGCGGAGTGAACATGCGGACGTGGTCTGCAGGGAATTTCAGATGGTATTCATCTATCAAAAGATGAGAGAGAAGATCAGCATGGATATTGTTCTTGCCTTCAATATGCCGAACTCGGATGTCTATTCCTGACTTCAGGATGAGGGATGCAACAGCCTGGAGGGGCGCATTATGCATAGATTGTGCCACCGCTAAGGAATTGAATGCCACGACAGAGTCCAGGCTATCGGTGAAGAGAAGCAACCGGCAGGGTGGTTTAGGAAGGGACGTGGCATAGTGAATGGCGGCGAGGATAGCCATGAGCTCCAGGAAAAAGATGTCAATAATGGTACCAGGAGGTGGAGGGTGGAGTTGATACACAAAGCCATTGCCAGCGAACACAAAGGAAAGCCCCAACCTGAGAGCAGCATCAGTCCAGATGATCATCTCGGCTTGACTATCCATCCAATGTGTAGAGTCAATGAAACGAATGCCAACTGCATCAGGAATCGTCATCGACAACCATGTCAGATCTTCATGGACTGCTGCGTTGATAAAGATCTTTGTAAATCTGAATGATTTTCCTGCCATCTTCCTATATAGCTCGGATAGGGCAGGATGCCCCCAAGGAAAGACATTCAGAGCCCAATTGAGGTAGCCAGCAATGCGTTGCCACTTTATGAGTATAGGAGCACGACCGGGTGTTGCGAGGAAGAACTCGATGTCGGAGACAAGATGGTCGATGGAAGTTTGATCCAAAGAGATGCTTCCTTTATTGGCATCGACCCAGAATCCTATAATTTTCAATGTTTGGCCATGTAGCTGCTTTGGATCGTCAAAGAGGCAGGAGATAAACTCCCAGAAAATCAGTAATTGAACCTGTCGGCTAGGGCAGAGCAGGCCTCGATAGAACATGAGGTTATTTGCGAAGTCCCATCCGAAAAAATCATCCATATAAACATGGAGGTCCAGAATGTTCAACTTATAGATTCCGATCCAGCAAAGCAGACTGGACACTGAGCACCAGATGCGAGGTGATGCCCGGTTACCGAAGACTAGTCGTCGAACAATGTGATACCAGCCGTCGACAATGACAACCTGTCAGATTTGCCAGAGAGGATGTGCTGGCAGATTCAGGAAGGCTTTTGCGATGTCACTCTTGTAAAGGATGAAGTCTGCATCAGGATAACGCTGTCGAGCATTATGCAGTGCTTCTCCAAAAGGGTGCATGTCATCATATTTCACATGAGCTTCTTCAGGAGGAATTCCAGCATTGAGACCAGAGGCAGTATGGTCAGTAACCACCCTTGGCTTTCCCTCTTGCCACACTATGAACATTGGTGAGACTTTCATCCCGGGCAAGAGTTGGAAATTAGGCGGTAGCGCAGGGGACCATCGGCCGGCAGCAACCTCGCGATCTCTAAATGCTCGAATCTCTGCAAGATCCGCAGGGTCTGATGCATAGTTTTCTGAGTTATCCCTGCTAGACTCCTCCCATTCTCCAAGGTCAAGAGGCCAGAAGCCATCTCGAAGGCCTCTGATAACTGAATCAACAAAAGGTTTATTAGGGTGTAGTGAGAGAATGTTCTCAAGCCGGTCAACGTTAAAGGGAGTATCAACAAGTATATAATCTTTGAGAGCGGCAAGGGTAGACTGTAGTTGTGGATCGTTAAGCAACTGTTCAGGGGGTGATGGTAGAGGAGATGCAGACTCAGTAGAGGCTGCTGCTGGGGAAACAGGCTGCATAGGTGAAGAGGATGATGATTCGGACCATATATAACCACGCTTGAAGTGAGGACCCGCAATTTGATTATCTTGCTTATGCTTCATCCCTGCCAGCGATTTAGGACCTTCCGCTGCTGCTGCTACCCTCGATGCTACCTGTTCCTCTTCCAAACCTTGTACGACACTGGGCCTGGAGGAGGGAGGCACATTTGCTGTTGTCTTTTGCTCGGTGGTTAGCTCCACACTCACTACAGGTGCCATGGCGACAATGATTCGTGCACGGCTCCAATGTGCAATACCCCAGGTTCCAATTCTCGCAAGGTACTGCCGCACGCTTCGGATTTGGGAAGGAGGAAGAGGAGGGGCGCTTCGTATTGCACTGCGTAATCTCTGGGCGGAAGATCTGAGATAGCAATGGGATCTGGACCTCATTCTTGAGATCCATCCTGAAAGGGCGTTTTGCATAGTGTGACCGAATATCTTCATCAAAGCGAATCGCAATTGCTGGGTCATGCGGGACAGCCCTAAAGAGTTCGACAACAGTCTCACAATAAGTGCTAAGCTCAGCCTCTCGATGAGGGTAGAGGGACACAACACCCTTTGACCAGGCATCAAAAACACGATACCAGTCCGCCTCGGACGTAACTGGTCGTTTTGCAGATGAGGTGTCCTTTTTAATGATCGCAAAACCTGCAAATAATTCCTTAGCATCCTCATTGTGGTCGTAGCCTCGATCCATGGAGGCGAAGAACTTTGGGAAGTCAACGTAGTGGTCCTGGATGATAAGACACCAGAATGGGCGAGCAATGGGCTCCTTGAGAGGAAGGGCCTGAAGGAAGGCGATAAGGTTGTCGAAAGACTTCTCAGTGGCATAGAGTTGGCGGAGATGGAACGTCTCTGCAATATGTGGGTCAGAGATGCCAGATGAGACAAGTGTCGCAATGTGCGGTGCTTGCGCGAGAATAGTAGAAGAGATTGAAGTTGACTTCTGAGCAGAGAATGTGTCGAGACCAAGAAGACTGGCAAGTAAGCTTGTGGCATCTGTGCCAGGCTTCGCCAGCGATCCTGCAGTCTTGAGTGTGCAGAGCTTCGCATGCAGACTTGCCCAGGCCGTGTTGACACACGTGCAACGTGTTCACACATGTAATTTTGTGAATTCTAGGAATGCAAACGTGTGTGTGCCCCGTGAATAATATTAGAGTGCATGTAAGGCATAGAGCGCTACACACTGAGGCAGAAAGCACTATAATAAAAATAATATGAGTAGAGCGCATGGCTTAGACTTAGAACGGCACACTTGTGTCATTTAAGTGTGCAGTCTCAGTGCTTATACACACACACTGTGCCCTCCTCTGCAGTGTATCACTCAATTAAATTCACTGAAGATAATATATTGAAGGTGCTTTGCGCTACATTGATCTATGACGCGTGAACCCTGCCGATCCAGCAATCACCGAGAAACGTCATCCTGAATGAAGAATCAACAAGTCTGAATACTCTAAGGAGTTCTCGGCCAAAGAGAAATAAAACCCGCTGCCCATATGAAATATTAAACTAGAAATGGTTGTGCAGCAACCAATAAAATAAAACTCGCTCACTAGATAAGTTGCGTGGCACTGTAATTAAATCCGCAGAGCCAATAAGAAGACACATGCCGCATGGCACAATGAGGCTAGGCCTTGCCAAGTGGAGAAAACAGCGGTAGCACACGTGCTGACATGGAGTGCTGAGTAAAATAATGATTACTATCACTATGGCTGATGCGGCACGCAAGAGAAGGGAGTCCAAGGTGGAGCATTGTCTATTTTCAGTATTTACATTTCATATAGTTAACGGTAAATATAAGAGTGGTAGTTACAGGTAGTTAGCAAGTTTTCAGACCCCCGCAGTTGTACTACGAAGCAGCGCGCTTAGTGTACGATGAAAGGATTTTATTTGAAGCTTTGAGCAAGAGAGTATTATTGAACTTAGAATTATTTTGAACACTTTGAGAGCTCGCGAGGCACGCCATGCTCAAGCACGCTTGATTTGTTCAAGTAAAGTACAGTAATTGATTGCGCTCTACTTAGAGAATATTGTATTGTGATAACTTGAATGTGCATTTGTGTTTTTTTTGGAACTTGTTTGTGAATTCCGAGTTATTGCAAGTGGCAGAGGTTCGAACCCTTTGGCTTGTCAGTAATCTCTGAGGTTTTTTTGGTTCATTCCCAAGTGGCATAGGTTCAAACCCTGTGGCTTGTGGACGTGTTTTCTGTGTTTGTGTATCTCTGGATCACATAGGTTAGAACCCTGTGGGTCTATGAACGGGTTTTGAAGTGTTTTCTGCTTGGAGCACAAGGCTTTAAGTTGTGTTAAGTGTATTGTGAAACGTTGTGGACACTTGTGTGTTGCGCATGACATATTTTGAGGGTTATACGTTCTTGTAGAACATTTGGGGGCTTGCGAAATAATACTTTTGCCTTGAGGCCGAGTGATTCTGTCGCTCACCTCCTGTTCCAAAAGCATTTGGACTTAGAAGATTATTATATTGCTAAGCACGCTATATTATATTGTAACGTGCAAGGATTATTTCAATACTACTGCTATTGTGTGCTTGTATTGCACATCACCCCCAAACTACTGAGGGTTTGTGTGTGTGTGAGTGTGGGTGTGGGTGTGTTGGTGTTATATACGCTAGTGCATTTCTAGCTTGGCATGCACAGAGCCTCTTCAGCATCTTCGACTGCACGCAGTCTATTAGCCTCTCACTCCTTTGCCTCCATGGCCAACCTCTGTTCTTGTTCCCTCCGGAAATTTTTGACTTGTTCTGCGGTGAGACCTGCTGGTGTCCTCCCTCGCTCTGGCGCGTCAGCGTCATCTTCATCACCATTGCCCTCATTGTCGTCGTCTTGCCAATTGTCTCCAGATCTTTTGGGACCAGCTTGTGTGAGACGCTGCTGCAGTTGCTGGACATAGTCGGCCACGACCTCAGGAGTGATCCCCAAAGCCTGAAGCTTGAGGGCAAAGTCTTTGACATCAAAATCTCCGTTGACGCAACCTTTGAGAAGATCTTCACATTTCTTAGCAAGTGCAGCAACATTATCAGTGCTTCGTTCGTCCGGCATGAATGATATTTAGATTTCGAAGGAGAAATGAACGAAAAAGTGAAACGGTGAAAACTTCAGGCACACGGGGGCTGATTAAAGGCTTGTAGAGTAAGAGGATAAATAAGTAGGCAAAGCCTACTGTGCAACCTTGGATTGCTCCTTACCCTTGGAACCCATGTTTACGATGATAACTGTCTTGAGCAGTGCCAAACTGTCTGGACAGGGGCTATACTCGGGGTTGGCTTAGTAATTTTTGGTGATAGGTGATCATCCAGCATGCAACGGCTTATTTGCTGAGCGGTTGCCGCTGTGGCTGAGAAGTCTTTCTTTCCGAACACTTCCTATTGGTTTGTGGGCTGGTCAGAAAACTGTCGACATCAATTTCCTCTTCATTTCCTCTCACCTACTATCACCTTTTTTGCTTGCACATTGCAAGTGATTCCTACTTTCACTGTCCTTTTTCTGCTCTGTGACTGCAGATGCCCTCAACTACTGTCTGTTCTACAGCCCCACTCAGCTGCCAGTGGGTTAATAAAAATCTTGCAAAAATCTGCCTCAGTGCTATCGCTCTGGTAACGCGTTGTGGTATTATGCATCCACTTATCTTCAATGGAGTTTCCTGTTACATCATGTAGATTTGATATAGCGAGAGAATTCAGTGTTGATGCAAACCTGCAGATCAGAACATTTTGCTACAGCAACTGCAACTTGCAAGTAATGTGTGCTGATTGTTATGTCTGGTTTTTGGGAAGTACATACCCTTTCATGGTCAGACTTTTACTGCCATATAACAGTTTGATGAATGTTGTGATGTGTTCATTGTGGACTAATCGACCTTGTGATGGCATAAGGTGTGCAGTATTAGAGATTTGAATATTTTTTTTCTTGTGATGGTGCCAGGTGCATAGGGCATGTAATTATAAGATGCTGTTCAGATGCCCATAGTCTGGCTGGGGTCCGGTTCAGGACCTTGTGGACCGGGTCCAAACCCGAACCGGACCTGCAGGTTCAGGTTCGGTCCAGGTCCAGGTCCAGCATAGCCACCTAGGTCCAGGTTCGAGGTTCAACTGAGGTGAAAATTGCGGACTGGGTTTGGACCTGGTCTGAACCTGCTGGACCTCGAACTATTTTCACTGCTGAAAATGGACCTATCTGCTATGATGTGCGACTATCTCACTGTCCCAGGATCATCTACATCATCAGAGCATGCTTTCTCACATGCAGGTCACACTGATTCTGACCCTCATTGATGAAACCTTGATGCAGAGAAGTTGTTAGGATCGTGCCAATAGGATTGTGGCAGTAAGTGCATGTAGCGGAATGCCATGGGATGCATCGGGCATAGGCAAAGCTATTAGCAACATCACCCCTGAGCTGAAGCCCTAAGATGGATATAGACAGAAGTCCACAGAGTGGCAGAGATGAGGTAAGAGATAAGTCCAACAGATCGGAGTTCTGCAGACTGGAGAATGAGAGTGTGACTTAGAGTCAGAGAGAGAGATTGGGCTGAACCAAGTTGATATTTGAACTGAGTATCTACAGTGTAATTCTAAGGCTTATATACTAGTTAGGAGTCCAATCTAGTTCCTACTCGGAGTGGTCTACATTCTAGGGTTGTCAGAGGATGTATTCTACTGGTCGGTAGCTGATGGGGTCTGATGACATGTTGGCTACCGATGTCAGGCTATTGATAAATTGTAATGGAGAAGTGAAATATAAAATGGAATATGAAATGGAATATGAAATAGAAACTGGGAATTGGAGTCCGTAGGTTTCCAGGCTGTGATTTGTTGGGTTGAGTGGAAGTCGGGTTGCCATCAGCATGCTCGTTACAGTATCCCCCCCTTAGCGTTCTTGCCCTCAAGGATGCAGATCCCGATGGCTGAGTGTGTCCACGTGGAATTTTTTCTGGTTGGTCATGTGAGTTTTCAACTCTTGACCTGTAACCACCACCATCTCCATGTCTTTCCCTAACTCTGTCATCAACATTTGCTATGTCCTCTAATGTTGAGTATCATTTGTCTGTAACTCCTGAGCCTTATGAGCTCGCCCCAACACCCGACAATCTTCGCCCAGAAGAACTAGAAGTTTTCTTCAATGAGTGGGATGCCATGGAAAAAGCAAGGGAGGATGCCGTGGAGGCCCATGAAGCCTGGAAGGCACAAAAGCTGAAGGAGGAGAAGAAACAGGCCCAGGAGTTGGAGAGATGGGAGAAGAAGTTGGCATGGGAGAAGCAGGTTGCTGAAGCCAAGGTGAAAAAGGAGCAGGAGGAGCAGGAGGCCGCAGAGAGGAAGTGACAAGAGGAAGAGGTGGAAGCGAAGCGATTGGAAGAAGAGGCAAGGGCTTTGAAGGAGAGGAAAACTGCAGAGAGGAAGTTAGTGGATGAGGCCAAGGCCAAGGCCTTGGAGGCTTGGAAGGCCATGGAGGCTGAGAAGGAGCAGGCAAAGGAGAAGGAAGGTGGCAATGGGAGTGAGGGGAGCAAGGTTGGTAGCAGCTCTGACAGAGATGACGAGTGGGAGAAGGAGACGAAGGGGAAGGTGTTGAAAAAGTTGGTAAAGCAGAGGAAGGATAGGAAGGGTAAGGGTAAGGCGACAGATTCGGAGGCTGCAGGGAATTCAAAGAAGAGGAAGGCCAAGTCCAGTGTGGTGGTATTGAGTGGAGAGGAGGAAGTCGCAGGGCTGTCGGGGTGGCCATTGAAGAAGTTGAAAACTGAGCCTGAGATGCAGGCAGATGACAAGGAATATAAGGATAATGGTAGGCTCCCCCATGGGTTCCAACTATTTTGCTGACTTGGTGCATAGAGCGTTGTGGACGTTGTAAGGTGGATGATGTAAAATGTTTCATTTGCCATGGGCATACTTGCGAACAGTGCAAATTGAAGAAGAGCAAGTGTGTGTTTCCACAAGGTGAAGGTTCAGGATCCACGGGGTCCAGTGAGGTCATCGACCTCCTACAAAAACTTTGCGACAAGATGGATGATTTCCAGGAAGGCTTGGAGAGGGTAGAGGGAAAGGTGGATTTCCTCAGAAGCCACGTTGATGACTTGGTCGACAATTTTCCTGAGGGTGATGCTCTGGAATGGCCATCGGATTTCATCAATGAGGAGTTTAAGGAGGAATGGGTGGCATCTAAGGTTGAGCTTGGAAACCTCAAGAACGTGAACTCGGAGGCCCTATGGATCATGATGCATATGCAACTTGACAAGGATGTTGCCCAGATGTGGAATGCCCACATGATGAGTACTGAAACCCTCGATGCTGCGGATCCCTTCAAGGTCGCCAACATGCAAGTTTGGTACGGCTGTCTCAGGAAAGATGGTCTTCAATTGGCCATCAAATGTTGCGACCATTTCTTGGACACAAGGGATAAGTTCTATGCACTCAGAGGCCGTCGGATTGAGTGGGCATTGTGGAAGAGGTATTTGGATGATGCAGATGAGTTTTTGGTAGAGGATTCTGAGGAGAAGAAGAGGGATGAGATGTGCCCGAGTGTGGGTGTGTTACGGTTTATTCATTTTTCTTTTACTCAGCCTGATTACTCATATGCGATCACCACAGACAGACTCTCATGGTACTATTATTAGCATACTCAATGTGTATTTAAGTAGAGCCTCAGCTGGACTAAACCCCAGCTTCGGTTAAGGTTTAATCTACCCAACATTGAACTCTGGGTTTCACGACTATCTAAGTCCTCCATCAACTTATTCCTTCATCTTTGACTTGCTAGAGTATCATCCACCGAAGTGCGAGTGGTGGTCCTAGTTCGATCTAAGTTGATTGAAGTTGGTTGTTGACATTTAACCAAAGCTCGTCCTACGTTGCCCAGTGCCACGTCAGAGAACGAATGCTGCCCAACATCCTACCCATATTAATCCTGGTTGCAGTAGTCCTTTGGGTCATACCCATTGTACTATCTGATCCCACATTCCCAATCCTAACGGCAACCCTCGTTGTGATCATCATCCGATTTTATACTGCAGCACCAGTCCTAGCCAGCATACTCCTGGTCGCATATACTGGATACCTTCGCATCTGAAGAAATTGCCCCTCTCCTACCGATTACCCCCTGCTTGACCAGAAGAGGTCTTTGTCCTACGTTCGTGAGGACAGTCTCGAGACTGTTAGCGTACAACAAGAGGACTGACGGAAAAGCACCTAACAACCCTGGCATTTTATGCCACCTTTCAAAATTGCATTTTCAATTACCCTTGCCATCCTAGTGGCCTCGACTATCGTCATCCGACGGATTCTATGCCAACATTGGAACTCATCCCCACCATCTCGGTCACCTTTACCCTCTTTACCCTTGCAGTCCTACTCCTCGCCATATGACAGGCCTGGCATTGCTGCTGTCGTAGAAGAGAGGCAAGAGCACGGCTCCCATTTCATTATATTCCTCCTTACATGCCACAGACGGTCGTAATTCCCCCCACCTCACAAACCATGCTTCATGATGGATGACCCATCACACCCCCAGGAGGAAACTCCAGCACAGAGTCAAGCACCGACAAGTCGAGCATCAACTCCTACTGAACCGCCTCAGTCGACATCACAGATACCAGGGGCATACTCCTCGACCGAGGAGACAGTCCCGTACCAGGCCTCTTCGACCTCCCTGCCCTCTCAAGCAAGTCAGGAAGCGACGAAGAAGGGTCTGTGGGATCGAGCCAAGGAAGTCCTCTCAACCTCTGGGACGACGAAGGCAGGAGGATCCAAAGCTTCCTTGAAGCGGACGGGCTCGGGGAGGAAGAAGAATCTGACCCCAATCCAGGAGATCAGTAGGCAATCAAAGAAGTCCAAGGCGGCATCCCAGGAGATGATCTTGAACAAGATGATGGAGAGCTCGGTCTTGAGGCCTCCGCCGCAACTACCACCAGTGCAAATCCAGCAGACCCCTCTCGACCAGGAATGGTGACAGGCAGCTGGCCAACGGAGAGAGGAATACCAATCGCCTGGTACCCCACCACCTCCTGGGTCTTTGCCAGGGAAGAAGCTCCTGTGGCTGGAGTATCAACCAAA